GACCAAAAAAAATCGTGGGTCTGCATTCTATAAAGATATGCCTTATTTGCAAATTATATAACGAAAGTAAAAATATTTCAAAAGCAAAAAGGCGGTCATTAATTCAAGAATCTGCCGGCTTGTGAGGAAAATAACACATTAGATTCGAAGGTATGCCCAAAAATCAGGAGAGGGTAAGGGTAAAAACATACCCAAAACTCCTTAGGCAGCTCCAAAAAGTAGCCTTGAAAATGGTCAAACTCCGCCCGACGACCTAGTGCATGCAACTCCCCTGGTCTGCATGTAGTGGCACAAAATAAAAACATAAACAACTGAAAACTTGATCTGATGCATCCCTTAAGGCAATCGTTACTTGCTGGTAATCAGTAGTCTCTAACATAGAGTGGCTGCAATATTAGCTACTACAAACTACCCACGGACAGCACCTCACTCAACACACACTACAAAACCCACCCGGAAAGGGGAGTTGGATACCGTAGATTCAACTTTGCGTAACCAGCCCTTCCGAAGGTGAGTTCAGTGGGAGACTCCATGTCACATAGATATGATACAAGCTTTGCATCATCTCTTGAGAGACTTTATGCTTTGTTTTGCTTTCAAACATTCTTGGAAGAAATCAAACTAACAATTACTCAAAGAAAAAACAAGTGCTAAGGGGGAAACAAGTGGTTTATAAGCCAAAATTACGGTTGTCTGTACTACTCTCTTTGATTAGGTGCTTTTGTTTACAAGGCAAAGTCAAGTACCCATCGATAGTTGGTCAATTAGCAAACTTGCTTCGCGCGCGGGTGTGTTAACACGTGCACGCGTGGCGCAGGTGTCAACTCTGAGTACTGGGCCTCTACGCATTGGCTTGTCTGGGCCAGATCGACTAAGGTGGGCTGGGGACGACATGGAGACTATACCAAAACACTAATGACTGCAACAGTGAGATCGTTACCGGTGACAATGATTCTTTAATCCGTTCGGGTCCAGCAATATGGTCATGTGGAGAGAGCTGTACCTTTTCCATCTTAGACAGGTGGAGGGCATATGCATCCCGAGCCCTAAACTGCATGAAGCGCATGTTCGATGACTGAGACAGTTCTGTGATGATCTTGATGTTCGGGAAAAACCTGCAGAGAGAGAATTAGCATTACTCGTGAAAATATATCATCATTATCGTTAACACTGATCATAGGCATCGTCCAAATGAATTCAATGAAGTGCCTAGTGATGACCGACACTAGTATTATCTATCCACATGTTTTTTTCCCCTCTAGATCCTTATGTATCTCCTGGAAACTACTCACTTCACAAGAACCAACACAACAAGATGCTACACGACTTCTTGGTTATCAGAGTCCCTTCCCGACGTCAGGCACGCATGCACAGACCCGAGACGTGCGCCTCGGCCTACTTACTTGAACATGGTCTGGACGGCAACAATAGTATTACAATCCGAGAGAGTGTCTTCCTCGGCTGAGTTGTTCAGTTCCTTGTTCACCACAACAACGTTTTCGGCCAAATTGATCCCTGCACGGAGGAGGTCGTCCAGACTGCAAAGAGCCAGATAAAGCGTTTTTTAAGGGCTCACACGGATGATACATGTATATGTACATATACATAAGTCTTATGTATATATATGTACACTGTATATATATATATATGTGTGTGTGTATGATGTGTGTGTGTGTGTGTGTGTGTGTGTGTGTGTGTGTGTGTGTGTGTGTGTGTGTGTGTGTGTGTGTGTGTGTGTGTGTGAGTGTGTGTGTGTATGCATGTATATATGTATATATATACATATATGTATACGTACATACATAAATATATATGTATATATACATGCGTATATGTATATATATATGTATGTCCAGCACAGCCACACACACACACACGCACACACACACACACACACACACACACACACACACACACACACACACACACACACACACACACACACACACACACACATAAATACATATACATACATACATGCATACATACATAAATACATGTATATATACATATATAAACATTATGTATATATATATATATATATATATATATATATATATATATATATATATATATATATATATACACACACACGCATACACTGATATACACATACACACACACACACTGATATACGCATACACATACATATACATATACATACAGACACATGCATACGCATATATATGTAACGGGCATGAATACATATAAATGACCGCTAACTAAAGCAGTCCTAAACAAACATAGAAATGAGAGAGAAAGAAAAACCATGAAGTAGAGGCAAAGGAAGAAACACAAATTCGGTAAATGTGTTTGTTGATAAAGTCTGCTTCTTACAACACGGAGAAAAATGTACTGATGTGTTCTGATAATGTCTGGGTTTGAAAGCTCACAAGGAATATATTTTAGGCTCCGCGAGCGTTCCGTGACTTATAGAAAAGTCTTTTCTGGGAGGATCATTAAGAAGCTGAAATAAAACTGGAGATGTTGATTTTTATGG